AGTGTCTGAGTAAACTAGAAGAGGGGGTCTGACCCCCGGAACTGGAGTTACAGGCAGCTGTTAGCTGCCAGATGGGGGCTGGAAATCAAATCTGTTCCCCTTTTACAGCCTAGAGGTGTTAAGTTGCCCAGGGTGAGAGGGTAACCAATCTGAGGGCGGAGTGGACAGACACCCCAGGGGCCACATGTCTAAACCCTGTACTAAACCAGATGCAGGGAAAGGGGGAGGTAGGTCTGATGCCCCAGCTAACTGACTGTGGGCTTCCAGCCACTTGATACCACCAACTCAGCTTCTTCACAAAGGAGAGAGGCCTGTGACTACAAGCACAAATTCTGCCTGAAAGACTTCAGGGATTATTTCAGGCTGAGCATAATTGTGGACGTACATAATTCTGGCGCTCAGCAGAAAGAGTTTGAGGCCAATCAGGTCTACATTATGGTCCATGTCTAAAAAAAAAAACAGAAAGGAAAAGGAAAAAGAATTATCCTATAACTGGACATGGTACCAAATACTTGTAATCCTAGCACTTGGAGTCAGAGGCAGGAACCTTGCTGCAACTTTAAGGTCATCTTTGTATACATAGGTAGTTTAAGGGCAGGCTATATAGCAAGACTGCCTCAAGGGAAAAAAAAAACTAGTTAATTTCATTCAGACATGGTGGCTCAGCTCTCTAGTGAGTTCCACACCAAGCTGAGCAACATTAAACCTTGTGCCCAAAGAACAAATAGGCAAGCTAAATAATTTTTAACGTTATTGGTAGCGGGGCTGGAGAGATGGCTCAGCATTTAAGAGTACTTTCTGCTTTTCCGGAGGACCTGGATTCCCAGCACCCACTTGGTAGCTCACAGCCACCTGGGTATGGGGTGATCCAGCACCCTCTTCTGGACTCCCAGGCACTGCACAGACATGGCAAACACACATGCATTCAGGCCAAACATTCATGCACATAAAAGAACATCTTTTTAAAATTATTTATGGCGCGAGGAGATATCTCCGTAAATAAAGCTCCTGGCACGCGGGCGTGAGAGCCAGAGACTGGACCGCTAGCGCCCACCCAAAAGCCAGCCAGGCCACTGAGGCACAAACAGGGGATCCCAGGACAAGCTGCTTAGCTAGACTAGACAAAACGGTGAGCTTCGAGCCGAGACCCTCTCTCCACAAATAAAACGGAGAGCTGACATTAACCTCTGACTTCCACACGCACCTAAACAAGCTAGTGTCCGTACATGTGAACAAGGGTGCACACCGCACTCCCACACATGTACATGTGCAAAACAGTAGAGTTCACTTTCCATCTTCCCCATCACTGCTTTGCCCTACTCCAGTGGCACAGAAGAACTGCTATGGTAATTAATATAAAAAAGAGCCTTTTGACTGAATGAGTCACAGAGAAGGGACGGGGAGGGAAAGTGGGGGTGGGTGGAGGGGGTAGGGGGTGGGCTTATTTGGTAGTCAGAGGGATGGGCTGACAGGGGAGAGAGCTGAAGACAGAAAAGGGGACAAGGAGAGAACAAGTGATAGGTGATGGAGCTGGAGACAGGCTGGAGCAACAAAATTAATGCATCCCCAGCCTCTGAACCCCCTCTGCCTGGAGCGCACTCAGGAGCATCCTCAGGTTTTCCTGTACAGCCAGGTATGGTCCTGGCTCAGCCTTCACTTGAGAACCGTCTTCTCCCCAACAGCTGAGGGCCAGCTAAAAGACCACCCCCAACCTCATGTCATCCCTTGCCCTGAACTCTCGGAAGTGGGCTCTCAGCTCCAGCCCATTCTCAGAGCCTCCCTCAGTTTCCTGGTGTGGCCTCAAAGCTTAGGGCTATCTTCCTGCCCCACTTCCCTTTCCTGCCTCCAGTTCCCTAGAGAAGAGGCTATTGCTCCCTCTAGCCAGGCCACATCCATCCAGCCTGAGTACTAAACTCGCCTCCAGTCTGGCCGTCTTTCCAGGAGCCCCAGAGGAGGTGGGGGATCATAGCATTAGTGGTCCCGGACACTTTTGCCTTGGGAATGGCGAGTCTGCAGCAGGAACGTGGGTGACTCAACTCAGAATTATGTCGCTAGGTAGGGGTTAGGAAAGAGTCAGCCTGTGTCCCAGTGATAATTTCATGGAAAATTTATAGTAAACAACGTATTTTCTCTTCCCCTGGGGAAAGTGTTTATCCTTCAGCACCCGGCCTAAAGCGGTCTCTACCAGGCATCTGCTCAGGTTTCCAACCCTTGGGCCAGCTCTGGCTCCGCTTAGTCCAGGGAAGAGCTGGAGAGGTCATCACATTACCTATGCCCTCTCAGCAAAGACTTCTGAGTGCCTGGCAGCAGTGACTATAAACATCGTCTTTAACCTCTCAAGGACCCACTAAGGTAGAGATTGCTGCCCCCACTTCACGGCGCGGAAAAGGAGGCTCGTGGAGGTTAAGTGACTTGCCCGGTATTGCCGGGAGCTGATAACTGCTGCAGGAGCGTGGGAAGCTGCGGCTCCGCTCACTCAGCTCCGACGGGGCGCACTCAGGAGGCTCCCTCCCCGGCTGCCTGCAAAGTTGGGATCTGGCGACCTGCGCCCCTGGGGTTTGGGCTCCTGCCTTATGCCCCTGCCCAAATGCCCTCTGCCCCTGCCCGTCTCACCATCGCCTCCGCGGCCGCCGCCACAGTCACCGCCTGCTCGCTGGCTCCAGCTCCTCTGCCCCGCGCGGGTGGCCTCAGTGCCCGCCGCCCGGGAGGAAGCCTTGGGGCGGGGCGGGCCCGGCCGGCCAAGGGGGCGGGGGGGCGCGCCTTCTCAGAGGTGCCCGACCCGGGCAAACCGAAAGCGGCGTCAGGGCCCGCGGGGCGCCTCCTACCGGGCCACCAGCGTCCGACTTCCGATGACACCTCTGCCTGGTGATTAGGGGACCGATGTCTCTTGGCTCTGGGGCTGCATAAGGAGTTAGCCAGAGTTAGCATCTGTGAGGGCTCAGCGCTAAGAGATGACTGGAAAAAGCCAGGAGGGTTGTTTGCCACCTTGGTGAGCGCATCTCGTCTGAAATTAAAAACTCATCAGCCACTCCAAAGTTTTGATTGATTTTAGACAGGAAGGATTTTGAATAAATTATGTATCATCGAGTTGTACACTTAAAAATGATAAACTGGAAGCTGGGCGGTGGTGACACAGGCCTTTATCCCAGTACCCAGGAGGCAGAGGCAGGCGGATCTTTGTGAGTTAGAAGCCAGCCTCGTCTACAGTTGAGTTCCAGGACATCCAGGGCTACACAGAGAAACGCTGTCTCAAAACCAAACCAAACCAAAAAATGATATAGCTCGAGGCTGGTGAGATGGCTTAGTGGATAAAAGCACTTGATAGCAAACCTAATGATCAGAGTTCCATCCCTGGGACTCACGTGGTGGAAAGAACCAACTCCTGCAAGATGTCCTCTGAGCTCCAGACATGGGGGGAGGGGTTTAAAATGCTAAAATTCTCCAGAAGTTTCTGTGAGCTAAAAGTCTCCATGGTGTGTGGATGGATGAGTCTCTACAGCTGCTGGGATGGATCCTGAAATAAAGATGGCAACAGCAGCCATGTTTTCAACCAATAAGAGACAGAATAGGAAACAGGAGATCTGAGCCAATATTCCAAAGTGGTATTCAAGCAGAGACGGTCCCTTTCACAGAATAAAGGACAAAGTACATAGACTTCCCTGAAGAGCTTTACAGTGTGAATTTAGGAAAGTGTCGGAGAGCAAGCTGCTGCAAAGAAAACAAATGGGTTGTTCAGCCTGAGAACACACAACTTCCTTCTAGAACACAACTTCCTTCTAGAATCCTGGTGCCAGTCCTACTGGACAGTTCTTTGAAAGCTGAGGAAGATGGAGATTTCGAAGGATAATGTTGATGAGGTTATACTGCAGCTTTTCTTGCAGATCCGGGAACCAAGCAGTCCTTTCCTTAATCTCTCTGGCCCATCCCAGCTTGGGGCCAACTTCAAGGTTAGAATGAAGTTATTTGTAAGAACTGTGCAAAAGGCGTAATCAGAAAGTCCTAAGATTTGTAAATGAAACACTGTGCTATGACTTCCACAAAAGCTCGTGGAGAAGTGTATTAAGTGGCATTGATTTTTATGCACTTAATTAAAATGTGGGGCTGCATAAATGGCGCAGCAGTTAGAGCACCAGAAGCTCCTCGGGGGACCCAGGTCTAATTCTCAGGACCCACATGGTGCTCACTACAGTCTGCAACTCCAGCCCCAAAGGATCCTATGTCCTGCTCTGACCTCCAAGGACACCAGTCATTTGTGATGCACAGTCACATGCAGGCAGAGCATAGGATAAAAATGATTTAAAGAAAAAGTAATTTTTAAAAAAGGACTGAAGTGTTGAGGGAAACGTCATATTGTAAATCGAGCTGGGGATGTGCTTACACCAAGCTCTGGGTCTCCGGCTTCGTATAGGCCAAATTTGGTGGTAGAAGCCTGAAATTTCAGCACTGGGGAGCCAGCAGCAGAAGGATCAAAAGTTCAAATGTATGGTCTGCTACATAGTGAATTTGTGCTACATGAGAGCCTGTCTAGAAACAAAACAAAAAGACAAGCTGGGCTGGCACTGTGGCTTATGGCTGTCACCCCAACACTTAAGAGGATGAGCCAGGTGGATTGCCTGAGTTTGAGACCAGCCTGCTCTACATAGTAAATTCCAGGACAGCCTAAGCTAGGCTACAAAGCTACAAGGTGAAACTTTGTCACAAATGAAAGAAATCCTATGTCAGATGAATTTCACACCAACTTATAAAGACAGCAGCTTCTCGAGGGAAGTGCTAACTCTGGTTTTTCTGTTCTGAGAAACGTGCAGACCTGTTCCTGTGCTGTGCACTGGTGTGCCTCTAGTATTATGTAGCCTTCCTGAGCTGCTGTGAAGAAACTGCCAAACACATCTTCCACCTTCCAGACTGCCCTTGGCTTCCCAAATGTGGCCTCTCTTAACCAAAGTGCCAGGAGCTTTCCCCCCTGGGGTTGAGCAGCTATAAGGACAGACAACAGGTTTCCAAGCTTGGACATGGAGCCCCAGAACAGGCTGGGGGAAAAGAGAGTAGGCACAGTCATGTCAAAGCAGATGGAGAGGAGCTATATGGTATTTTCCCTGCCCTCCCTGGATCAGGAGCGGGATCCCAGAATCTGGTCTCTATTTAATCCCAAACCTTTGTCTCCTGACCCTACCCTTTCCTCACATTCTCCCAACAACAGGTTGTTTCTAATTCTGGAATGGCTGTGGAGGAAACAAGAACAGAAGTAGCCAAGAACCCTTCCCACAAACCAAGGCAGCCTGGGCCCTGGAAAGAACAGCAGTGATGAAGAACCTGGTGGGGAGGAGGGGTCCAGAAGACAGAAAGCTCATTGTGCTGCAGGCCCGATCCTGTGACACTGACTGTGACTAGCCATGGGATTCTGGGGAGAGATCCTCACCCCAACTCCCTCAGAACAGCTGAGATCCAGAAGTGCAAGAGTGAACAAAAGACAAACAGAACACACAGAATAACCAACAAAGGGTAAGCTGGCCAGTTCCTTCAACTTTTGGCTGAATTATACCAAAGTCATAGAAAAGACACGGCAAAAGTGACAGGAGGCCTTGAACCAGGTCCTGAATGACCATATCTTTGCAGACCTGTCCAGGAGAATTAAGAGACATGACAGGATCCAATGAAGATTCTCAATCTTGTATTCTACCCTCAAGTGCTATGCAAGCACAAGGGCCTGAGTTAGAAGCCCCAGTCCCATGTGAAAGTTTGACACATGCTTCTGTAACCTCAACACAGTGACCTCAGCACCATGGAGACGGGTAGATCCCTAGAGCTCATTGGCCATCCATCCTAGCCAAACTGATGAGCTCACTGCCTCAAAAAGTAGGGTGAGGGCTGGAGCTGTACCTCAGCAGTAGAGTGCTTATCTCACATTCATTATGCTGCAGGGTCCACTAGATAGTAAGGTGAAGAGCAATGAAGACACTCAACATTGACCTCTGTCCTCCACACACAGCACCTGCATTCACCCACACACATGTACATATTCACATATAATCAAGATGGGAAGGAGGAAGATGGAGAGATGGTTCTGTGGTTAAGGGTACAAACTGTTCAACAATATACACAAGACCTGAACAATAACAACATTGATAAGCATGCTAGCATGGAAGCAGGAACTCTCAAGGGGTCCCATCCCTAGACGAGGAACTGTTGGCAATTAAGGAGTGCTGAGAGAGTCCTCCCCAGAGATGAGCTCTTTAAATGGTTATCCAATGCCAAGTGGTCAGCCCTATAATCACATACATCCAAGCAACACCAAACAGATTCTGTGGGTTGTATTTGTGTGTGTGTGTGTGTGTGTGTGTGTGTGATTGAGATAGAGAGAGAGAGAAACAATAACAATGAGAAAGAGGCCATGAATTTTAGAGGGAGTGAAAGGAGGTTGAATGATGGATGGGAGACTGTTGAAGAGAGGAAAGGGAAGGGGCAACACAGTGTAATTATATTTTAATTATTAATAAACAAATCTAAATGTTTGCCTAAAGGAGGGTTGTGGGGGAAGAGTACAAACTGTTCTTGCAGAGAACCCAAGTTTGGTTCTAAGCACCCATGTTAGGCTTGTAACTCTTAGTTCCTGTAACTCTAATTCCTGGGCAATTGACATCCTCTTCCGGCCTCTGCTGGCTCCTCATTCACATACTCATAAAAGTAAGTCCTTTGAGAGAGACAGACAGACTAACTGACAAAATTATTGGTTCCAACTGGATATGGCGATTCACATCTGTAAACCAGGTGTGCAAAGCCTCCAAGCTGCCATCTTTCTTCTATAAACCCATGCCTCTATTCTTTGCATGATCTTGATACTAAACTGGGAGAAAGCAGTTGCTTTCCTTAGGTAGAAAGAAACATAAGGGCAAAGGGCAAAAAAGACAAAAGAGGAAAGAGCACCGAACACCGAGGGACACTGAAAGGTCTTTATTGCCCATCAGCCACCAGCAGTTCCCCAGCCACAAGCAGGTCCTCTGGGTCTCTCTAACCCACTCTCAGGACCCATGAGATGCAGCCACAGTCCAACTCTCTCCTCCCAGGGGATTAAGGTGCTTCTGGGGCATACGATGCAGCAGAAGGCCCTCCCAGGGACCGAGCAGCATTCCTGTGGGGGACAGGAGAGGGTCCCTCTTGGCACACAATAGGGAGGGTCACTCCTGAAGAGCAGGGTGGGATGAAAGGGGCCCTTAAGTGGGGATGGTGCCAGTGGCAAAGAGTATAATGAGGATGATGATGATAGAGACAATCACACAGATGATGACAATCATCTTCACATTCTTCCACCAGAACTTCCGGGCCACCTTCTGCGACGTTGTCTTGAAGTGCTCAGACTGTTGGGACAAGATAAAGTAGTGACCCAGTGGCTCCTGGCTTAGAATTAGGAGTACAAATGGAGACCCACATGCCATGGTGTCGATGTCGACATTATCAATGAGGTAAGAAACTGAAATAAAGAGGCTGGATGGGCCCAGCTACCTCAAAATAAACAAGCAAATAAATCATTAAATGAACAAACACATCTTTCCTGCTACAATAGGAATGTTTTGTTTTCCCAAGACAGGGTTTCTCTGTTTAGCTCTGGCTGTCCTCTCTGTAAACTAGGATATCCACAAACTTACAGAAATCCGGCTGCCTCTGCCCCCCAACCCCCATTAAAGGTGTGCACCACCATGTCTGTC